CGGTTGATATTAAGATTCGGGCATTACCATTGAGGATAGGCACGAATAACGATCTGTGGATTTGCTGCAATTTTGTGGGGCTTAGTTTCTTCGCTGTGACGAGAGAACTGTGCGTCTTTGGTCTTTGGTAGAAGGCAGCAGCAATTTCTTCTTCGATAGATGTTCAAACCAGTTCAAAGAAAAGCAAACGTTCCGAATGCCGAAAATAACCGAATAAGCTTAATGATGGTTAAACTCAGCTTTAACAGTACATTAACATAATAGGCATGGTATACAGTAATTTCTAGTGTACACAATTGGAGGAAATCAAACTACCCAGATTAAGTATTTCCGAAAAATCGGCAGATTTACTGACGTAGAATATGGCAGTAAAGTAGTTGAAGAACAAAAACCAATGACCGCGTGCTATTTTCGCAGACCGTATGGCTGCGATACAATTGACAGAAAACTGAAAAGAACTTCGCTTGTACTCTTCTGTTATATTCTGCATCTATCGATCCACCGTAAGAGACGAGGGGTTGGAGAGGTTGCTTGAAGAAAACTGCGCAGAGGGAAATTGTTCGACCTTGCGGGTTACCGGTACGGTTTCTTATCTAAATACGCTGTTCGTCCCTCTTTTTTCTGTGCAACCAACCGAGAGGTGGCTAGTAAATAGTTGAACTGCGAGTAGCACGTCGGAACAACAGTTGGGGCGTGGTAGCCATCTAAAACTACGGACACTTATGGTCATGCTTCTGATGCGGGTGCCCTGTACGGCATCAGTGCGTCTTGATCCACCTGACAGTTGACCACAACAATAACAATTGACTATCCTTCCAGATCACCATGGTCCCCTTTCGATGCCCACACTCTTTTGTCTCGTGCTTCCGTATCTGTCTTTTACCTCATCATCTCATTTGAGCTGATGTCTTGAAATCGGGTGCTTGCAGCTCCTTGAGCACCAGTTCGTCACTGGTGAAATATCTCGGACATCTGTCAGTCATCGTGCGATATAGTCCGACTCGAGCAAAATGCAGGGTACTGCTGGACATTTCTGTTTTTGTTTTTCATTCCCTTCGATCTTGGCAAGTGGCTGTGACCGCTGTTCACACTTTCCAGGTGTCTTGGATAAAAGTTCCGTTTGCTGTGCACTTCGGTTGAATGAAGTTGCAGATGACGGCTCTGTGAGACTTGACCCGCGCGAAATTTACTACCATGAGCTCGGGCACTACCTTTTCTTCGGCGGGTTTCTCATCTGCACCGCGGAATGGTGCCCTTTTTGCTGAGAGACAGCTAACTAACTTAGCACAAAGCGTAATCCGTAAAATATTGCTTGGTAGATCTTTTGTCTCAGCAGACTGACAAGTTTCTGGATTGGGTTGCATGTAACTTCAACTCCTTGTCGGTAGGGGCTGAAATTTGACGCCTACTCATGTCAGTCAGCTGTTCATAGGTCGCTGTGTTGAAAAAATCCTTTTCTCGGGAATCCCCTCCCCTCGATTTATGCCCTAATTGCTGGCCTTCTTCAGTGATGTTCATCACATGTGCTAGATCAGCATTAGGACCCTTGAGCCAACTAACGCTGACTTTTGACGATGTACGTTGTGCTGTTTCATATTCGGTGAATCTGTTCGAACGAACTGTACTTCTTTCATTTATTTTGAAAAGGCATCCTCGTTTTTCCACTGATTTCTCAAAGTAGCGGTAAAAGCTTATGAGATAGATGACAACTAGAGTCGTTAGTCATTAAAATTCAAGTTTGTTTTCTCCCTTTATGCTCGCACCTTAAATCGCGAAAATTGGAAGAACCAAATTAACCGGAATAATCTTGCTTGTATCTTTATGTTTTTCACTGCTTAAACTTTATACAAAATGACCCAAATTTATGAATATTATTGGTGCGAGTACGAGTTGACGATATGCGACCTGAAACGCAAAACCCATAAACAGTTTTCAAAGACTGACGCCTGGTTTGAATGAAATTCAAACAACACAAAAAGCAATGGTAAACGCGTTCGAAGACAATACAAACATTGCATCACATCTTTAACGCCAAGTTTCCTGCGATAAGGATGTGGCCTTTGGCAACGAAAGACGTCTAATATGAATGTAAGGCATCACATCTACAGGGTAAGACATTCATTCTGGGCAGTTCTGCTATATATATGCTTATTGACCGTTGATGACCACGAGAACAGCTATGAATATGGTACGAGTGGCGTGTAGCTATCTTTGATAGCCAAATACGTTTCATCGTTCATGATTTGTGAGGGATGTCTTGCGGGATAGAATTAGGTGCCGTATCGCTAACCTGCTGCCACTCAGTTGCGTTT